GAATGTACTGGAAAGAAAATCATCAACATTTGCACCCCTACTTCTATTTTTTGTTAACTCATTATACTTCTTTTTCATGACATTGATGGCATAATTAATTCTAGACACATCATGTGTAAAATAATTTATCCAAACAGATTTAACCATGTTCAGGTCATGAGCATGGCAAAATTTATCGAGGTCACAAACAAATTCATTAGTAACATCTTGTCGTGGTTCCTTCACTTGCATTGGAGGACTCCCAAGATTGCTCTTTGTAACACCGTAGCTGCTCACAGTTGGGGTAATTTGGTTAAGGTCTACCTCTTGTTGCAGAAAGTCCATGTGGCTGTCGGGGAAGCTCTTTAAGAATGTCACCTTTGTCTTCTCCACCAAGTTGGAAAAATGGGTCCGCCGCACGAAGGCTTGGTTAACGTCTGGAGCAAGGTCTCGAAGCCACATGTTGATCTGTGGAAGACGAAAAAACAACCCCAAACCGCTTAACACCACAACCTTGTACGTCATTATCTGAATGAGAGATGTTTGTCTCATTTTGTGCTGGGGAAAAGTAATAGATAGAATTAAAGAGGGAAAGTGAAGTTCTTCAAAGACGGAATAAATTTAAATGACAGAGTTCATGTAGGCCTAAACATATTTTATATACAAACAACATACACCAATGAAACAAAGAAAAGCTTAACTTTTTAATGATGTATAGCATTCTGTGTTTTATTGCAACAGAGCAAAGAAAAAACGATCTAAAAAAACACAACATTTTACCAAAAACCACACGCTCAGAAGGCTGCGAAGCGGCCTTGGCGCCGTGTTTATGTTCCCTACTGTAATCGCAGCACTTCAGCGGGGCAATGTATATCTTGTTAACAGTTAAGGTTTGACGAAAATAATTTTTTTTTAATGTGTGAACAATTCGGGTCAACAGAAGTTTCCCACGAGGACAAGACATAAACAAGCAGACCTATTTCTCAAAGGAAATACTGTGTGTGGGGGTTGGGGGGGGGGGGTGCTGTCCCGATGAGGAGTTCTCTAAAGTCTTTTCCAGATAATTTATCGTATTCAATCTTCGGCACAGGATACATACAATTAGTATAATAATGTATAGATCTAAAGGACATCGTTTTATGAATACAGATTTACAACTGTCAGCCATAAAAAAGAATTATAGTATTATGGAGACTCCTCAGAAAATGTTCTGAAATGCTTTCATGACAAATTTAATAGCCTTTTCTGTTTTACGTTTAAATAATGCGATCTAGACCTGTACCAAACTCTCTGCCTGTACTTAGCAATTCGTCTGTAACCGTAAGTAAATATATGTATTGCATGGGCTTTTCTTACAGCTGCAGTTGAATTATGGCGCATTTGTGGTAAATATATCGGTGAAATTCACATGTAAAGAAGGCTATCCGTAGGTGCAATTGGATTTATGGTGGTCTGCGAAAGGGAAATGAATTGTACCGGTTCGATTCCTCAACGAGTCAACAGGGCGTTCTAAACTTTAAGTTGTCAAAGGGAGTTTTTAAGGCTCTCCGCCCATGGCTCTGTCCTAGCGGAGATGGGCTTTGGCAATTCTGGAGGTCCCGCCTGTTTAATAACCTTACAGTATTAAAAAGAGCGTTATATCTATACAATATACATACAATAACAAATATCAGGGTTCTGATAGGGCTCCTTCTGTTTT